TGGTTATGTTCCTTACAAGCAATGTCGTCAAGCCCAGTCACCTCGTGGATGGTCACTTGAAGAATTCCAGACAGAGCGCTTCCTAAAATATTCATAAAGTGGATTAAGTAAAAGAAAAAATCCCGACATATCTGAACCATGTAGCTGTGGATAGAATGATGATTGTATGTGTATTTAGGCAGAAGATGTTGGGCTCGTTCTTTAATCGTGGCGCATGTCTTTCGCAGAAACGAAACGTGTAAAACTAACCAACAGCTTTTTATTATTAAACTCAAAAGCCGGAAATGCAGTGATGCGAGAAAACTTCAAAAAACACTTAAAATTTAAATATGGTTGATGAGTATTGCCTCCTGTTAAGAGGCTAACAAAACATTTAGTAGACTATTGAGCTGGAGTAGAACATGACAAAAAGTACAGGTTAAATAATCTAGGCCAATACAGTCAGGTTAAATTGTTGACTGCAATATTGGCAGCGCCATGTGGCGCATCAACAACGGCGGCACAAAAGTTCTGTTCCTCGTTATTGCTGAGTTACTGGTTACATCATATTCAATCCAAGGTTCAATGGCTCCCTCCTAATAAATCGTTTCCGCAGTTCCCACTAATGTGGAGTCAAGCTGACTACATACTTGCCCTAGAGATTGATCAAAAGGAAAGGGCACGCTACACGAGCAGCGGCGCCGAAATGCATAGTCGACTATTGTATCTGTTCCCCCTTCCATTTAGTCTGACCCGGTCCTGTCATTTGACCATTTCGCGTACGATCAGAGTAAGGCAGATGATGCGCAGGTCCCTGTAACGTACTCAAGCTCACTATGGCTATCATAAAGTAGCTGTGGTTCACATCCAGCCCGGCGGATGAACTATCGAGCAAAGCATCGTTACATGGCTCAAAAGATCACCTTTCATCTCGTAGTAAAATTTAACTAAAAGAAGGGTTTCTAGTGATGTAAAAGCCGGACGCAAACTGCCCGCCGCAAGTGACTTAGTGAGGCAAAAAGGCGGGAATGTAAAATCTTGTCAGTCAATGCTAAGTAGCCGAAAACTGAAGGAGGAGCAAACGTATTCCGCCAGGCAGATACCTTACCAATCCACTCCATCAAGTCATTTAAAAAAGAGTTATTAAGAGCTTGTCTTCTATTATTTTCTTATGTGACTAGGGGATTGTTGAATGCCGCATGACAAGCATATCTGCATACTCACAGGGCATGACCAAAGTCCCGACTCAGCATTTTGACAATGCGTAAAAAGCCCGTGTGCGTTAAATCACTCATGCTTTTGAACTTGCATCGATGAGTCAGTAGGAGTAAAACAGGGAAAATGAGTATAAGTAAAAAATATCAGGCGCTTCCTACCTGAGATGATTATTTTTCCAAGCCGATTGAGGGGGACCACCTTTTGGGTGTAAAAGCAGGAAGAAACATTTGAACTCGAATACTTTTCCGGCTGCTTCTATAGACGTACCCGACTCACAAACAAAAATTACAAATTGTGATTTCTACAATGATCAGTTGGATGATTCCGAAAAGAAAAACTTATTTTACGAAGTGATGGCATTTTTGGTGGTTTAACAAGATGAGGCAATTGTTGGACCGAACATACTAAGATCCATTTTTTAGAAAAGAATCAGTGAAACTTATGTAACTTAACCGCGCCAGCTTATTGAAGGACAAATATGAACAAGCACTAAATTTACGGAGTCTGTAGTGAGTCTGGAAACAACGCCGTATATCTGAGAAGACGTTATGCATCCTCCGAATGCACGGGTTAGACGGCTGGATGTGCATCGATAAGGTGTGGAGACCAAAGTAGTGTAATGCAAAACAAACGTGTATTCAACAAAATACCTAAATATGTTTCGCCACTTCAAAATGAATAACATGAACTCTGTCTACCAAAAGTATGTTTAAACGATATCGATCGGAAGACTGTTCAGTTGTTGAGAGAGTGTAGCGTCCACTATACTCACAGATTTGCAGTGATTGACAAGAGAAGTCACTTCACCGTTTGTGAAGCGAGTAACGGAGTCTTTGGGCTTAGGCGACTGTCGGAATGAAGGCAATTGACCAGCAAGTGACCTCAGAGAGCTGAGCTTTTTGGAGACGAGTTGCTTTTCCACAGTCTTGCTCGAGGCCATGGAGTTTTTCGCCTGCGTTATGACCTTCTTCCAATCCATTCGTTCACGCTCAGAAGTCATGAGAAGACAGAAGGAACGGCCGTCAGTAGAATTAAGGAAGAGAGGCAGTCGTGGAGCCTGAAGAACCAGTTCGGCTTGCTAAATTATGGATGAAAACACATAGTTCTTTGTCAAATCAAAATCAGACGGCGAAATCGCAAGAAGGCGGGCGAATGCCCGATAGCTTCCCGAGATACCACTTCGTCTGGAGGGATTTACAGTCTACATGACAAAAGTAAATCAAACTTCTAACAAAAGAGATGAGCTTAAAGTGGTCAGCTCCACCCCCACCATTCAGAAAGTGAAAGTGGTAGCTTAGGCATCGGACCCAGGTAAAGACATTGAAAAAATTAATTGGTGCCACACATACCGTTATGGGACAGAGTAAGCAGCTTCGTTCGGCGTAGACTAAATTAGTCAATTTTCCATCTTTTTCTACCTTCTTGTGTGTGCTACCGTGAAGCCCTGCTACCACGGACGAGTACAAACAGTTTAATAAGCGGACTTTGTTTACCGACAAAAACAGTGACGCTGAAACTGCCATTTCCGGCTTATTTGCCGTCATCAATCAGTGGCACCCCAGTCACGGGCTGCCCAACTGAAATTCAAAACCAATCTAGAGCTCTTCCAGGCAGTTGCATCATGACGACTGGCAACAAAAGAGAAAATGTTTACGAAGACAGGAATAACTGGGATGGCCATTTCCGACTTATTGACTGGTCTCGGACAGCCCAATCCAATCTCAGGTTTTTTCAGGATCTGAGAATTGAATCCGAATTTTCGGGTCATTGAACTTTAGGTAGTCCAACATTCCATCATTGAGCAACAGATCCATTGTCTTTTCGGTTATAGGCTGGTTTTCAATCTTAGGTTATTCAGGCCTCGGGTTTAACATAGCTGGCTGACAGCGGCT